AGGGCACAGCCCCAGGGAGGGCACAGCCCCAGGGAGGGCCCCGGTGCCATGAGCTCAGGCTGCCTCACCTTCACATGCTTTAGGACAGAGATTTATTTTATTTATTTTTTTTTAACTAGGCTCAGTTTTGCCTCGAGGGACACTGAGTGGCATTTGGAGACATCTTACAGGGAGTTGGTGGTGCAGTGGTTAATCATCCGTTGGCCAACCATAAGTCAGGGGTTAGAAGCCACCAGCCACGTATCAGAAGACAAACACAGGAGAACACGTGTGTGTGTGTGTGTGTGTGTGTGTGTGTGTGTGTTTACAAGCCTGGAATCCCCATGGGGCAGCTTTGTCTTGTCTCAAGTCACTACCAGGTGGGACAGACTCAGCGGCAGAGCCTTGGCTTTGAGTTTGATTGACAGGTTAGTCCATCACAGTTAGAGAGGTACCAAGGATGAGAAATTTAGGTCTGAGCCAAAGAAAATAATGTCGTGATTGTCTCTCCTTGTTGTTAGGTAACAGTGCCGTGGAGTGCCCAGGTGGTGCAGATGTTCAGTAACATGCTGGGTGCTAGCAAACAGATTGGCAGCTCGTGCCTACCCAGAGGGCTGGGACCCTCTGTGGTACACAGTTCTGTGTTGGGTCTTGGGCTCCATGAGGCAGACTGGCTGAACGCTGCAGGTTTCGACCGTCCTGCACGCGTGTTACTGTTCTTTACTAGAACAGTAGGCGAGTGGGTGGTTCTCGGTTGAGCATGGCCTCAGAGGCACTCTGGTCATGTCTAAGGACACTGCTTGGCCTCCGTAGAGAGCTGCAGCTGTCATCTGGGGGATAGAGCTCCAGATGCTACTGAATATCCCACAATGCACAGGACAGGCCGTCCATACCACAGAGAAGAACCTGGCACCAAACGTGCACAATGGCCAGGCTGAGAAAGCTTGCCTTCCCAGACTCCATCTGGCAAGAGCCCTTTCTCTTCCTCATCTTATCCTGGCTGACTGATGGCCTGAATGACTGTAGGTTAGCTGAGAGTTGATGTTCAGCAGTTTATACACATTTGGTTTTGGACATTGGTGATGACCTCCTGAATGGAACAGCACTCTCCCGACTTCTGTAGGTCCCCTTCCTGCTTCTCCCTCTTTCCTGCACCTTCCTGGTTCCCTCTTCCTGTTTCTCCCTCCTTTCTGCACTTTCCTTTTTGTCTCGCAGGGTTCACAGGAGCCTGGCCCTGGGGCATTATTTATGGGCCTGTCTGTTGTCAGCTGACAGGTGATCCCCAGGGAAGGTTCGGTTTGGCTTTGAAGGGGCTGCCATTTTGGGGGTCCTACCAGTCTCTGTCAGATCACCAAGGCTGGTCCTTCTCCTAATTCTGAATTTTTGATCTCTATTTTCCTCACTCTCCATCCAGGACCTTCCATGGAGTCCTATTCAGAGTGGCCTGTAATTACAGCTGGGCACCATCTCGCTCTTCTGGCCTTAGGGGAGTAGAGGCTGTGGTCCATGGCATCCATGAGTTACGGGGACTAATCTTTGAAAAGTCACATGTAACTGTGGAGGCCAGTGGGCAGCAAGGGGAGGGGCCTCTGCACCGTCCTGGCTCATGTTAAGTCACGTGACTGTCACTGACTCTCACCAGTTGTTGTTGTCAGATGCCCATCAAGCAACCACAGCACAGCCAATCTGACACCTTGCCCTGTCCTGTGCCAGCCTCGCGATCTCTAACACACCAGAGCCCATTGTTACAATCACTGTGCCAATCCCTCAGGTTGAGGGGCTTCCATTCCTTCTCTGACACTTCTTCACTTTTCCTACGATGATGCACCCAGCACCCTACACATTGTTGGGGTTTTGTGTCAGTCTGTTTCTCACTAAAGAACTGCTCTGAATTACAAACACAATGCCAACAGCTCACCAGCGAGGCTGGTTACTGGGAACCGTCCAATCCCCCGCCGACTGTGAAGAGGAGCTGGAGTCAGCAAGGAAGCGTCCTGGCTCCGAGGTTAACAAACCCCTCACCGCATCAGGAAAGCAGGAGCAAAAGGGGGACACTGCAGACCACCTCCCAGGGCCTCACAGGTTAGCTTTTCTTCCTTTGGTAACAAACTCTCATGTTGTCCTTCAGTTCAGCAAACCAGAAGTCTGACAAGATTTCCAGAGAAAGTTTAGGGAATCACTGAGCATGTTGCATCCAAACCTATTTGACATTTCGTGGGTGACATGCGGTGGGACACTGTCCAGCCTGACAGGAGTGGTGTCCATAAACTTAGCTCTAGAACCTCATAAAAAGGCTCTAAATGCTACTTCACGAGTCTGGGAAGGACAGGGCTTTCCAGAGTCTTCAAAGGTTGATATTAAGGAATGGCTAATCACCATTTTGTATGAACCCAATGCACCACTCACTGGGTCACTTTCCAAACACCCCAGGAATTTGCCAGATTTGGGTACAGTTCACGACACAGAGCTACTCTTCTCCCTTAGGGACTGGGAAGACCCAGGTCTAGTCACAGAACCCTTGTCACTGAGGACGAGATGCAAAGGACGGTCAGGTTGGCATGTGAGTTCTCCGGAAGCTGAGTTCAGGCATGGTGGAAGTGAGCCCCTGTGCCCAGTGCCAGCACCTGTACACAAACCAGTGCCCAGGCCGAGGGGGACCGGAGAAATACCAATGTCAAAATACTCCACGGGAATATAAAAAAGAAAGGCTTTCAGAAATTGTTCCCTTTGGATTGGTAATAGCCACCAAAAACAGACACCATTTTTAAAAGCCCACAGTCCCCTAACTCCTGCTGCAGACTTTAGCCGCTCACAAGGTCCACCGAGCAGGCCTTCAGGACATCCTGAGCACAAGGTCCTCTGAGCAACCACTCATGAGGTCCACCGAGCAGGCCACCAGGATATCCTGAGCACTAAGTCCACCAAATAGCCGCTCATGAGGTCCACCGAGCAGGCCGCCAGGACATCCGATGCATGAGGTCCACCGAGCAGCCGCTCACAAGGTCCACCGAGCAGGCCTTCTGGACATGCTGTGCACGAGGTCCACTGAGCAGGGTGCCGGGACATGCTGTGCAGGAGTGTGTCAGCCACACGCCTTCTGCCCCACAGTCTTTGCTCCTCCCTGTAATCCTTCTGCTTTCAAATGATGACCTCAACGTTACAACCCACTTAGGTATAAGAGCTCTTCAAACACCATTTCCCGATTTTCCTATGTTATTGCAGAATTAGGTTACGGAAACTGTATGCTATTATGGAATTTTCCTATATTATAGGAAGGAGCCCTGCAACGTAGTGTATTACCTGTTAGGCTATTGACCGCAAGTTTAGAGGTTCAAGTCCCCCAGAAGCTTCTTGAAAGAAAGATGAACAGTCTCCCCTAAAGATTACGCCTTCAGAAACGCAGTGGCGAGCGGTCTGTGTGTGAATCAACTTGATGGTTGTGTGTTTGGTTCTGAGTTAAATTACAGACGATCCTTGATGACACAGCGATCATATGATCAGCTGCTGACTGAGTTGGTGATGGTGGTTTGCACCCACCAGCTGCTCAGGAGACGCTCTGGTGGGCAGGAAGTCTGACCCGGGAAGGTTTACAGCTCAGGAAAC